AGCGGGACGCAGACTGAAGGTCCCCTGTGCAGCCCGCGGGGCACTGGGTCAGCACACGGAGCAGAACACAGACTGAAGGTCCCCTGTGTAGCCCGTGGGGCACTGGGTCAGCACACCGAGCAGGACGCAGACTGAAGGTCTCCTGTGCAGCCTGAGGGGCACTGGGTTAGCACACAGAGCAGGACGCAGGCTAAAGGTCCCCTGTGCAGCCCGTGGGGCACTGGGTCAGCACACGGAGCAGGATGCAGACTGAAGGTCTCCTGTGCAGCCCGTGGGGCATTGGGTCAGTACACAGAGCAGGACGCAGACTGAAGGTCCCCTGTGCAGCCCATGGGGCATTGGGTTAGCACATAGGGCAGGATGCAGACTGAAGGTCCCCTGTGCAGCCCGCGGGGCACTGGGTTGGCACACAGAGCAGGACACACACTGAAGGCCCTCTGTGCAGCCCACGGGGCACTGGGTCAGCACACAGAACAAGTTGCTGAGATGGCCTGCCCTCGGGTCACTTTTAGTCCATGGTGAGATAGGGACAGAAGCTGATACCTGGAGCTGCTGTGTTAAGTGTGTGAACTACTGGGGATGCCGGGAGAGTCTAGTTTAGAAGGAGATGGCTAAGGGAAACCTCTTGAAGGAGGTGGTCTTTGGGCTGAGGCTGAGGGCTGGATGGTAGGGTGTGTGGCAAGGTGGCAAGACTGAGAGCCCAGGAGACCTGGCAGCAGGACCCCAATCCCATGGGGTCCCTCATGGCCCAGAGTGTGGCCCTGTGCGGTTGCTGAGCATTGCAGCAGTGTGACTGGGGCGTGTGGGGAGTGGCCTGGGCAGGACAAGGGTGGACATAAGTGTGTGGTCAAGAGGGGAAAGCCACACACATGGAGCTTTCACACTGAACTGGTGCTAATTTCCTTTTTTGTACCTGGTTACTGGTTGAATTATGTCCCTCAAAGTGTGGGTCAACTTGGCTAGGCCATGATTCCCAGTATTGTGCAGTTGTCCTCCATTTTGTGATCTGATGTGAGTTTCCTATGTGTTGAAATTCTAACCTCTATTATGTTAATGTTAAAAGGGGCCCTGGTGGTTCAGTGGTTAAGAGCTTGCCTGCTAACCAAAAGGTCGGCAGTTCAAATCCACCAGTCACTCCTTCGAAATCCTGTTGGGCAGTTCTGCTCTTTCCTATAGGGTCGCTGTGAGTCGGAATCGACTCGACGATATCGTAGTCATCTTAGTCTGCTCTAACAGAAACACCACAAGTGGATGGCTTTAACCAAGAGAAGTTTATTCTCTCACAGTCTAGTAGGCTGCAAGTCCGAATTCAGGGCGCCAGCTCCAGGGGAAGGCTGTCTTCTCTGTCGGCTCTGGGACAAGGTCCTTGTCATCAATCTTTGCCTGGTTGAGGAGCTTCTCAGCACAGGGACCCTCGGGTCCGAAGGATGTGCTATGCTCCCAGTGCTTCTTTCTTGGTGGTGTGAAGTCCCCAACTCTCTGCTTGCTTCTCTGTTATATCTCAGAAGAGACTGGCTGAAGACGCAATCTAATCTTGTAGATCTCATCAGTATAAGTGCTGCTAATCTATCTCATTAACATCATAGTGATAGGATTTACAACACTTAAGAAAATCACATCAGATGACAAAATGTGGACAATCAATCACACAATACTGGGAATCATGGCCCAGCCACACTGATACACATATTTTTGGCAGGCACAATTCAATCCATGATAGATGGCAACGCGTTTGTTTGTTTTTATTTTTACTTTTTGGTTTATGATATTAATGAGCGAGGATTAGAGGAAATTATGTTAATAAGGCAGGACTCAATCTACAGGATTAGTTTGTCTCTTGAGTCAATCTCTTTTGAGACATAAAAGAGAGAATCAAGCAGAGAGGGGAGGGACCTCCTACCACTAAAAAAGAGGAGCCAGGAGCAGAGCACATCCTTTGGACCTGGGTCCCTGTGCAGAGAAGCTCCTAGACCAGGGGAAGATTAATGACAAGGACCTTCCCCCAGACCCGACACAGAGAGAAAACCTTCCCCTGGAGCTGGCACCCTGAATTTGGATCTCTAACCTCCTAGACTGTGAGAGAATAAATCTCTGTTTAAGCCATCCACTTATGGTATTTCTGTTACAGCAGCACGAGATAAGTTAGACAGTACCTTTGTACCGCATGCATTATGCAAGTGAAGAGACAGAACAGAGTCTGAAGAGGCTCCAAATCTGTAGATAAAAGTGTTAACTACCTTTCTGCCTGAAATTCGTCCTTGAGGATTTAAAGCGTCCAGGAATCAGAGGTTTGCAGCTGCGATGGTTTTTATCTTTAAGATGTGATGACTAGCACCAAGATCATCTTTGGGGAACTGTCTGCATGAGGACAGGCACAGCCTAGATGTTTGCTGGATTGAATTCATTCTGCTCACCCCTGGGGAGGAGTACAGGTGTTCTCTGAGCTGATTGTCTGTGTGCCAGGCTGGGTTGGTCTCCAGACTGCCTGCTGGAGGTTCAGGGTTTCCTTTCTTTCCTTACGTGTTTATAAAGCCATGTCCAAGCGTGGCCTGGCTGGAGACCAGCCTGTACATGGGCAGTTACTGCCCTTGTTACACTTCACAAACATGTGCACGTGATTTCCTTTGGTCTTGGGGATGGCCTTTGGAGGCAGGCTGCTGCCACCCCTGCTTTGTGGTTGTGGAGACTGAGGCCAGGAGAGCTCGTCCGGAGGGCACAGCTGGGACACGGCAGAGTAGATGCCTGAAGACCCTGGGCGACTTTGAAGTCTAGTCTTTCGTTCCATCTTCTTTTCCACCGGACTCCCTCTGTTCTTGCAGAGTGTGCCTGGCAACCACACTAAACATCTCCTCCTGAGGCGGTCACTTGATGTAATTTTTTCTTTGTGTTTAGGGTTCAAAATTTGGGCGTGGAATTGGGCTCGTTCAGACTTCTCAGCGGACGACTCGGAGATCGTTTGGAAGATCCAAGAGATTTAGTATCACTCGTTCACTGGATGATCTTGAGGTAATTTAATTTTCGTTATTTTTTAAGTTTTTAAGAATGAAAACCAATGTGTCTGAAGTCTCCTTTATATCCACCGGATCCTCACTCTCTCCCTCCCTCTTCAGTGGCAACCCCTTTCCCCAGGAGGTGGAGGGGGGGTAGGGTGGGATGGGTGGAAGAGTCTTCCCCATGTAACATTTATGCACATTTGGTCCCTGGGTGGCACAGACGGTTAGCGCTCTACTACTAACCCAAAGGTTGAAGGTAGATGGTTTGAACCCACCAGCAGCACCATGGATGAAAGCCTGGTGATCTGCTTCCACAAAGATCACAGCCAAGAAAACCCTATGGAGCAGCTCTGCCCTGTCCCTCAGGGGGTGGTCATGAGTCAGAATTGACAGTAGTGGGTTGAGTTTGGTGTGTCTGTAACCATCATCGTGATTTTTAGTGTTCACTTCTGTGTGCCAGGCACTGTTCTTAGCACCTTATGGATCTGAACTTGGCTTAAGCCTCACAAAAACCCTCTGAGGTGGGTACTGTCATTACCCCCTTTGGTAACTTGTTAACAGAGAGGCTATTGCTCACAGAGACAGAGTATGCATTGTGTGTTTTTAAACTTTCTATAGATGCAGTGGTACAGTGTGTCCTGTTCTGCCCCTTTCTTGAACGTTGCACTGTTTTCAGAATTGATCCAGGCAGCCTCAGTCCAGTCACGGTGCTGCTATGAGGCAGCCCTTCATGCCTCTAGCCTGGTTTAGCCCTTCTCCCACTGATGGCCCTCAGCCAGGAGTTGGAAGTAGTCTGGTACGGACCGAGCTTCAGTGAACATCTGCACGTGGGCCTTGTGCACCTGTGAGGGTGGGAGAGAATGTTCCTGAAAGGGAAGGAGCGGCCTCTCCCCAGCAGGGCGCGGGTCCCTGCTGCCCGCCCTGCCTCTGGCCCTCACCGCTGTTGGACTCCGTTTCTGCCAGGCTGTTTTGTGAGATGGCCTTGCTTTAATTCACGTCCCCCTGATTATTGTCAAAACAGTACATTAGAGACGTAGGAGTGAATTTTTCCCAATTTTTGCCCAAAGAGTTCAATGTGTAGATGCTAACATTGCTTTACTGAATATTCAGTCCGTTTCTAAGGTGCTATGGATTGAATTTTGTTGCCCAAAAATATGTGTTGTAAATCCTAACCTCTATGCCTGTGGTTATATGCCCATTTGGGAATGGGTTGTCTTTGTTATGTTAATGAGGCAGGGTCAATGTCGGGTATGTCACGAGTCAATCTCTTCTGAGATACAGAAGAGATTAAACAAGCGAGCAGAGCAGAGATGGGGGAAGAGAGGTGCCAAGACACATGAAGATCACCCAGGAGCAGAAGCCAAAGAGACAAGGAACTTCCTCCAGAGCCGACAGAGAGAGAAAGCCTTCCCCTAGAGCCGGTGTCCTGAATTCAGACTTCTAGCCTCCTAAACTGTGAGAGAATAAATCTCTGTTTGTTAAAGCCCCCCTTGTGGTATTTCTGCTACAGCAGCACTAGAGACCCGGGACATAAGGATGCCTGTGGGAAACACTGTCTGTCTGTATCCCCTTGTTGCTCTCTGGCAGGGGAGCTGGGCAGCCTCTGAGATGGTCCTCACTCTGCGTGCAGTCCCCTGTGCTGAGTGTGGACTGGAACCTGATGACTTGCTTCTAACAAATGGGATATGGCCACAGTGGTGGGGCATCACTTCTGAGGCTACGTCACAGAACGACTGTGGATTCCATCTTCTCATCCTCCCCCGCTGTCTCCCCTTTCGAGCGTTGCTCTGGGGGAAGCCGTCTTCAGGTTGTGAGTGGCCCCATGGAGAGGCTCAGTGGCCAGCAGCCCGAACCTGGCCATCCATGGGGCGCATGCCAGCCTCCATCCCTGCCGCTAGGGCTCCTCGGCTCCTGCACGCCTGTGCCAGCCTGTGGTGGCCATCCACAGAGGCCACCATGTCACTGTGACTGCTTGGTTATTTAGTGCCTGCTTGGGGGGTGGTCTTGGAGGATGAGACAGTGAGGAGGGGTCTTCACCCTCACTGTCTCCCCACAGAGCCATCCACATGCCTCTTTGTAAGCCCTTCTTCCTGACCTTGCAGCCTCCTTGTCCAGGCCCTTGACCAGCCAGCTGGGCCCTCCACCTATTCTCGCCTTGGACCACTGCTCTTTGCACACAGAGTAGATGACCAGGGCACCGACCACAGCTCTGGCTTCCGTCTTCCTGGATGTCCATTTTTGGCTCCCATCGACATACTGAGCTGACCCATCTGTGGACCGATTTTGGACATTTTCCTCCTGCTTCAGCTGGTCGTGGGGAATTGCCTGTGTGGCCATCAGTGTGAGCTGAGGTAGCTGTGCTGGTACAGGGGTGGGTCTGGGCCTCCTGCTCTGCAGCCCTGCTCCTGTCCAGGCCTGGACGTGCAACTGCTGCCCCATGTGAGTGCTGCCCACAAATGCCCTGGCGGGTCTGCCGGGGCCACAGCCAAGCTCTTGAGGGCAGTGCGGGCTGGATGCTGACTGAATGTCCCAGGTACACCCCTGTCTCACCCCACCCAGTCGCACTGCAGGAGCTGCTTTTTGAATGGTGTCGAGTCCCCGCTGCATTTGACAGGCCTGTCACATTATGGTGTCTTTTCCTGCAGATGCCTCAGTGCTGGGGGTTCTGCCAAGGGATGCAGCCCAAGTGGCAGGCCACTTGCCCTGGACCTACTGCAGGGCCCTTCCTGTTCACGCCTGCTTCTTGCTGGTGGCCTTCTCTCACTCCTGGTGGATGGGCCTGACAGCCTCCCACAGCATGGGATGGTCTGCCTTTCGGACCCAAAGAGGCCGCTCAGCATTGGCTTCTTTCTAGTGGTGAGAGGTGGGGTTACAGTGTTGTGTCCTTCTCCTTGGAAGGAAAGTTCCGACTCCTAAAACCTTCATGGATGGGCTGCCCCTGAGCCTCTGTAGGTCTGTCTTCTGCCTGCAGCAGGGCACGAGCTTTACCAAGGCCTCCAGTGAACCTGCCATTTCTTGCTCATCTGGCTTCATTAGCATGATGTTAAGGACAGAACGAACCACCAGATGTTCTGAGACTAACGAGACAGCACAGGTCCTTTCCGACCATTATGACAGAAGACGAGAGAGCTCACCTAGGCCTGGGCGAGACTGTAAATGGAGCCTGGTGCCCATTCTGTGTGAGGACCAACTGTGTTTCATCTTCTTCCTGATTTGTTGTTGTTGTTAGGTGCCGTTGAGTCAGTTCCAACTCATAGTGACCTTGTGTACAGCAGCATGAGACACTGCCCGGTCCTGCGCCATCCTCACAGTCCTTGCTATGTTTAGGCCTACTGTTGCAGCCACGGTGTCAGTCCATCTCGCTGAAGGTCTTCCTCTCTTTCGCTGACCTTCTACTTTACCAAGCATGACGTCCTTCTCCAGGGACTGGTCCCTCCTGATAACACACATCCTGAGACGTGAGATGTGAGATGAAGTCGTGCCATCCTTGCTTCTAAGGAGCATTCTGGCTGTACTTCTTCCTGATAGGTGTGGAAAAGAAGGTCTTCTCCAGGCCCACGTGCACCTGCTGCATGCTAGAGGTTGTCCTCCTCTGCTCTAGCAGATGCCACACCTGGCACAGCAGCATGGCAGGAGCTGCTGCTTGGTTACGTTTGCACAGCTCACTGTCATCCACTTTCCCTTTGGGGAACACTGAGGGAACTGCTGTTGATGACACTTGCTTTGGTGCTTTGAGATCCTTCCTTCCTAACTGGGTTCTGGCCTTTTGTTAAACAAGTGGCTATATTAATATCAATGTAGACTTTAGGTCAAAAAGCATTCCTAAGCATAAAGAGACATGAATCGTGAACTTGACCTAATGGGCTTAGATGTAATACTGCACCCAATAAACACATTCTTTTCAGGTCCCGTGGGACATTTACAGAAGTTGGCCATAAAGCAAGTCGCAACAAGTATCCACGACTCTCATACAGAGTCTGTTCTCTGACCACAATGCATGTATACTGGAAGTCATGAACACCAGGACAGCATCCCTGAATGTTTGATAATTAAGGAGCACACTTCTAAATAATCCATAGTTCAAAGAAGAAATCACTATGGAAATTAGAGAATATTTTGAGCCGAATTATACTGAAAATACTACGTTTTAACTTGTTGGATATAGCTAAAACTGCTTAGAGGAGAGTTTACAGCTTTAAAATGGATATATTACAAATGAAGGAAAGCGGAAAATCATTCTGAGAGATTAGAATAAGAAGAGTAAAATAAACTCACATTAGAAGCTGGACAATAATAATAATAAAAGCAGAAATTAATGAAATGGAAAACTAACATAACAGGGTTGGCAAAGTCAAAAGTTAGTTTCTTTTGAAAAGACCAATAAAATTGATAACCCTTTCGGTAAGATTATCAATATGGAAACAGGGAAGGCATACACAACCAGTTCGAGAATGAAGAAAACATTTCTAAAGATCCTATAAAACCCATTGCTGTCGAGTCAAATCCAACTCATAGCTATCCAATAGGACAGAGTAGAACTGCCCCAAGGGTTTCCAAGGCTGTAACCTGTATGGAAGCAGACTGCCACACTGTTCTCCCTCAGAGCAGCTGATAGGTTTGAACCGCTGACCTTTCGGTTAGCAGCAGAGCGCTTAACCACTGCACCACCAAGCCTCCTTAAAAGATCCTGCAGACATTAAAAATATGATGGGAAGATATTAACAGCTTTATGTTAATAAATTTAAAAAGCTTGGTAAAACGACAAATCCCTTGAAAAGTATAACTTCATAGTGCTATCGAAGAGATGAAATAGAAAATCTGAATTGTTTTATAAGTATTAAAAGGTCAAATCAGTAATCAATAATGTCTGCCAAATATTTAAGGAAGAGACAATATCTTTTCAGAAAAGAGAAATCACTTCCCAATGCATTTTATGAGACTGTCATGACCTTGATACTGAAATCTGGCAAAGACATTAGAAAGAAGAAAAATGACAAGCTCACTAATAAACAC